CGGGGCGGGGCGGGGGGGGGAGCTAACGGTGCCGTGTGTCCGTCTGTCCCCGCAGCTCCACCGCCGCGGCTTCCGCTGCCTGCACGGCGTGGACGGCAGCGCGGGGATGCTGGAGCGGGCGCGGAGTACCGGCCTCTACCAGCGGCTGCTGCCCTGCGTCGTGGGCCGGGAGCCGCTGCCCGCGCCCGCAGGTAACGGGCCGGCACCGGGGGCGGGGATGCTGCCCCGGAGGGTCCCCCCACCGCCCGCCGGTGATGCCGCGCGTGTCCCCACAGAGCACTATGACGCTGTGACGGTGGTGGGGGCCCTGGGCGAGGGGCAGGTGCCGAGCGCGGCCGTGCCGGAGCTGCTGCGTGTCACCAAGCCGGGTGAGGGGGTGTCCCCGCGTCCCCCACGCTGTCGTCTCCCTGCCGGGACCCCCGGGCTGGTGGGACGGCGACGCCGGGTCCCGGTGGACGACGCTGGCCCCGTGGCACAGCCGGGACGTGGCCTTGTCCCTGCTGCCCGGTCCAGGCAGGGATGTGCCGTGGCTGCCCGGTCCCTGGCCCTGCCTGCCGGCCAGGCTCGGGCAGGGGGACACGGCAGGAGGTGGCGGTGGCACTCAGGGTGTGTGACAGCGTGGGCTTCGGTGTGATGCCCTGCCCAACCCCTGCCCGCTGGCCTCGGGGCCTGCCTGACCGCTGCCCGCTGGCCTGCCAGCTGACTCCTGCCAGGGTCCCGCTGCCTCCCCTCACCCCCTGCCTTTCCAAGGGGATGCCATCCCCAGCGGAGGCGCCCGGCGTCAGCATCACCCGTCCCCTCTCCCCACAGGAGGCTTCCTCTGCCTGACGACAAGGAGCAACCCCTCGAACCTGCGGTACAAGGTGGAGCTGGAGGCAGTGCTGGAGAGGCTGGAGAGGCAGGGAGCCTGGCAGAAGGTGCTGGCCCAGGAGGTGGAGCGCTGGGAGAGGGCCACCTCTGAGGAAGAGAGCACCCAGGGCACCGGCTACATCTCTGGGGTGGTCTACATCTATCAGAAATGCCCCATCCCCCCCCTCGAGGAGGGCTGAGAGCCGACACAGCTCTGGGGAGGGGGGACACCCCTCGGCCCCTTGTAAAACCCAGCCCAGTGACCCCCTCCCGGAGCAGAGGGGCTGCTGGAGGGTGATGACAGTTTTGGGGAGCATCCCCATTCTCTTCCTTGGCTCCTTCCCCCTGAAGTCTGGCCCCTGGGGGCCTTGCCTGCTCCTCAGCATGAGGAGGGTCTCCTGGTTTCACCAGGGTCTCATGGGCACCACCATTAGCTCTGACACTCAGGTACTGTCCCCGACACCTTGGCCCTCAGCGTGACATCTCACAGACCCACCTGGCTGTTCAGAGCCATGTCCTGTCCAGGCTGTCTTCTCCCCGCCATGCCCACCTCTCAGCCCTCATGGTCAAAATCAGAATCCTTCTTCATCTTCCCCACCCCAGACCCCTGTGGTCTTCGCCTGGGGGCTGTTGGAGGTGGGTACCCATTGCCACATCCTGTGGTCCCCGTCCTCATCCTCCCCAGGAGTTAACCCCGCACACCCTGAGGTGCAGGAGACCTCCATGTCCAAACCAGGAGCAGCTGTGCCAAGGTGACACCCAGCCGGAGAAGCTTTTCAAGCACCACACCAGCCTTTCATCCTGCAACAGCTGCTTTAAGTCTCTCATCTTCCGACAGCTTTGTAGTTAATGGTCTGGGTGGGAAATGAGGCTGAAGGGGACTTCAGGAGCCTGTGGCCGCTCCCCACCCAGGAGCCACCCAGCATCGCCTGCCCAGCCTGTTCCCCAAGCCCCTTGCCATGCTGCCTCCACCCCTCCTCCTCCGCTGCTCCCTTGGGAAGTTTTTTACCCAAATCTCTTGCTGGGATATTTCTCTTTTTTTCCTTTTCTCTTCCCCCAGACCTGTTCCTGCTCATCCCGTTCCCATGGCCCGGGGGAATAGATTGCTTCCTTCCCCTCAGGAGCTCTTCACCAGCGAGAGACAGTGGCTGTGTCTGTCCCTGTCCCCCACCCGGGACATCCCACATCTCCCACACTCGTCCTCCCCGTGGCTCTTGTCACCCCTCCGCATTGCCCCCCCACGTCTTGGGGTCCCTGCACCCATCGTGGGTAGCTGCCCTGCTCCCCTCTCCCCCTGTTTGTCCCCAGCACTGTCCCCTGGGCAGTTGGGGGTCGTGGCTGTCCCCATCCCTGCACTTGGCTGTTGAATAAACCTCCCTCCACTGCCTGCCTGCCGTGTGGTGTTCCCCGAGCAGGGGGGCTGCGGACCCTTTGCAGGGGGCAGGGGAGGGAGCCCAGCAGCCAGGGAGGGGGGGATTTGGCCTTTCTCTGGGGTTGCCTTCTAGTCCCTGGGGGCTCAAAGGACTGAGCTCTGGGAGCCTGGTGTGTCCCCCATGCCCCTCTTGGCTCTCAGCACCCTCTCCCTGCCTCAGTTTCCCTCCTGGGGGATATGCAGGGAGTGCCCTGCCTGGCTACTGCCGCATCCTCCTGGGGACGTGCCAGGCGTTGGTGCAGCAGCCCCTGAGCTGGCAGCAGGCTGGCAGGGCACGAGACCCATGGGACATGTCACCATCCTCTCCCCACCACACCGCTTCAAAATGAGCCCAGGCAGTCTCGGTGGCACCAAGATGTTTATAGTCCATCACGAGCACGGCCCCTGCACGCTGGGGAAGGGCACACATGGGAGGACTGGGCCAGCAGTGCGGCCAGCATGGGGATGGGCAGGGGGAGGCAGCATGTGGGCGGGGGGG